CGGGGGGGTTGGACTAGATGACCTTTAGAGGTCCCTTTCAACCCAAACTATTCTATGATTCTGTCTAGTAAATAAAAGCTGAAATGTTATTTTGCTGGCTGTCTTTTAAACTATCCAAAAAGAGGCATATGTTATGGTTTAGAGATATCATGACTAACTCTATTACAAGGAAGTTATGCTGGTTTTGTCTCTTACTTGAAGTTTTAAATGGCTTAACCAAAATCACTGGGAAAGTAATAGATTGCACTAAAGGAATCTGCAAGAGATTTGGGCAGTCTTAGCAGCAGGTATTTTTTCAGACATGAACCTTACTACTATTTGTCATAGGTAATTAGGAATCTTTCCTGGATACCTGGGTCTTTTTAGGAGAAATCTGTTGTAACAAGAACTAGTCACCATGCAGCAAAAACCTATGGGAAGTTCATCGTTTCTTTAGTGTGACTACTTTAGAGGTCATTGGAAGGAATGTTTGCATTTTCTGGTAGGGTAATGTTACTTCCTATACATGTGTGTCAATGCAAAAGTAAAAAATATAGACTCCACAAACTATTATTTACATAAACCAGTGTGTTCCTGATGATCTGTAACAACTTAAAAGTAGGTCCTCACCTTGAGAAATTTCTAGTGTACTATAAATAGCACATTATGTAGGTGGCTTTGAATAGCTTCTGAGCTTTAAGAGACCCCTGTAGGTACTTTAGGAACTTTAGAGCACATGTTCTCTATCTGGAAAAAGGTTAGGAGTGTACTTTTTATCTATACATGAATCACTGCTCTTCATTGTGTTTCCATGTTTGAGTTTTTCTGGCCTGTTGAGGATTACTGGGAATGGGATGTTTTGTTTATGGAGAAATGTTGGTTGGTTAGCATCCATAATGGGTTTATGTATACATCAAAATACTTAAGAGGAAAAAAGGAATTATCCTTTTAAATGTAGGGGAGAAATGAGGTAAGATTTGGTGTGTTTCACAGCTATGGGAGAAAAGAAACATAAAAATGAATATTCAGCTAAAACGTATAAGTGCTTACACTTTATGCAATGAAAACTCTCTCCCTTACCTTATTTCCCTTGATTTGTCTTCTGGTTAAGATAGCAAAAAGAGATGCGAAGTGCCAGGCACAGACTTGTTCTGTGACCTGTGGTAGATGATGTAATCTCTCTCTGAGGCAGCTGAATGTATGAAATATGAAGAAATCTTCTCACGGGGTAGCAAATCTGAACTTGAAATGGAAACGTCAAAGAATAATTTATATAAATTCGTTTCACAAACTGGCTTCCTAAGGATTACAAAGTGTCTCCATTTTCATTATCAGTTGCATTACATTTTCCGGGGGGGAGGGAGGGAAAGTAGAGTTGAGAGAACATTTTGCAGAATGTAGGTTTTGCTAATGAAATCCTGCAAAATTCAGATGAATGTATTTAGTCAGGAGGGTGAGGGAGGGTTTAGTTATTTGTTTTTCCTGCAGGAGTTAAAAAGGAGTATTTGGAGGCAGCATTGTTAAGGCTGGCTGTATGGCCTTAGGGGCTGGGGACTTGAACCCTT